TAACAGTGAAGAGCTAGCTGGTTCCTTTCATTTCTAGAGTGTCTGTCCTCACTTTTGTAGCTCAGGAGCTGTTGGTGGGTGTAGCCTGGCTAGCAGTGAACCAGAGATTTGCTCTCCTAGGAGAAGAGCTGTGAACCACAAGGCTCACATGATTATCTAACCCTTTCATCCAGAACACAATTGTACAAAACACTGGTGGCTTTAGTGTTTTGATGTGTGGTGAAGGGGAGAGGTTGCAAGGACCTGTGGTTCTTAGCAAATTCTTTCATCCTGGAAGTCTAGGTCAAAGTCAGAAGAGGGAACCTCGGGTAGCTGTATGTGCAGATTAGAAAAGTATACTGTAGACTCAATCCACTCCATTTTCCCGGTTGGTTTTGTAACATGTAAAAGTTAATGGTCTTAAGGGATAGACACATTGTGAGATGTCCTTACTATTGGCAGATCCTGTGAGCGTGGTGCTGCTTTGACTAAAATCCACAAGTCTTGAGGTAGATTTGTCTTGTCCAGATCCACATTTCTTGAGTAGATGGAGGAATAAGCAAAGGCTTCCTTAGTGTGGCTACTTCTGAGACTTTTCAACTGAGGTGTACATCTTCTTTACCCAGAGAGTACACATTGACCCCTTAGCTGCTCTTGAAGCTGATAAGGAAGCAGTGGCCAAGGAATTTGGTGTTTTAAGGTATATAGAGGACTTCTGAGGCCTCCCCCAGAGACCACACCTCTTTATATGAGTGACAGCTGGGTTTTCAGAGTGCAGGACACTAAACTTATAGTGTAGTCTTGAGATAAGAGAAAAATGATCGATGATACTCTCTCTCTCTCTCTCTGTGTGTGTGTGTGTGTGTGTGTGTGTGTGTGTAGGAGAGTGGGCCTGGAATATAGGACACACAGAAAGACTGGGTATAATACTTCAAAGGAGCTAACTGTGGGTGGTGGAGTGTTTGTAATTCACAGAAGTTTGAGGCCAGCCTGGGCTACATAGCCAGTACTCTTCTCTATAAACCAAAAAATAGCAGCAACAACAACAACAACAACAACAAAAAACACCTCAAAGCAGATGTGACTTTCTTTGGGTACCTAACACAGAAACTTTCAAGCTGATCACCTTCTTTTGACTGAATTTACTATTGTAAACAATGGCTCCAGATCCATTTTGTTAAAAAAAAACTGTATGGTCTGCTCATTGTATAATGAAGAAAATCTGTAATTCCCACCTCAAATCATTACAGATGAATCCTGCTGGATAACAAGTCCTCCACCAAAGAGATACCACTGCATATCCCCAAAGTTTCTTTTTATACATATGTTTTCATTCTTTTATAGTCTTCCTTCTTGCCTTCTTCTTGTTCTTTCTGTGGTTGATGGTGCTAGGCTATTTCTGCCCTAAAGTAATTTTAGGGGTGGCTTATAGGTGATAGCCTTGAGTATCTGGAAAGAATGGATTGTTTCTGTGTTTCCCTTGCATTCTGATCAGATGGTAAGTGTCCTGTGAGCACAGAAATGGGTATTTAACACTGCATGGATGCCTCTTCTACCTCAATCTGGTACCTTATAATCTGTTGAAGATAAAATTAATGTTTTTCTAAAATTTTAAACATGGTGCTTGAGATCTCTCTCTCTCTCTCTCTCTCTCTCTCTCTCTCTCTCTCTCTCTCTCTCTCTGTGTGTGTGTGTATGCCATGACAGGTGTGGAAGACAGAGGGCATCTTTCAGGGGTTGGTTTTTGTGGACAGAGGTTTCTGTCCTGCTATATGAATTGTAAACTGCTTGCACCATGGCTTAGGCTTCTTACTGGCTAGCTCTCTCTTAATTATTAACCCATAACTATTAATCTATGTACTTCCATGTGGCCTTTTCTTCTGGGAGAATGTCTGCTGGTCCTGCCTTCCCAGTAGCTACATGGTGTCTCTCTGGCGGTTCCTCTCTGCCTTCCTCTTCCCAGAATTCCCCTTGTCTGGTAGCCCTGCCTATATTTCCTGCCTAGCTACTGGTCAATCAGCATTTGTTCATCAACCAATAAGAGAAACAGCATACAGAAGGACATCCTTCATCAGGTTTTATGGTCTACGCCTTATACTACTCTTGTAGAACTTGGAATCTAGCTCTACTCTGGTATTGACACTCACTGTGAGAGTGCTGCTTAGTGGGGTTGGATAGGTTATGTCTTGTTGATAGCATGAAGAAAACCAGAAAGGTTTTGAAACTGGAATTGTCAGCGTTAGACTTGTTGGTGGTGTTAAGTTATTTTTTAGTCCTAGGGGACCTGGACTCCTTGAATTTTGTTTTTGGTTGAGACTCAACTCCAGTTTCAAGAATGTTAGTAGGCTGTGTTGGACTATGTGCAGCATACACAGGATTCACTATCAGCAGATCTTGATGAAAGAACCATTCTCCCAGCACCCTCCCTCTTTCTTAGCCTCCCAAACCTCTATCTTTCTTTTCTATGCTCTTACATAGTGGTAGGAATTCCAGGACCTACAAGGTTCAGGTGGGCTGGGCTCAGAACCTCCAGTTGGTGTACTCCTGCCTTATTGGGTGACAACAGAGAGTTCAGGTTCCATGTAGTCTAGGAGATGGTCTAGGGGATGTTGTGCCATCTTAGTGGGGGAGGACCTTGGTGCCCATTGCTGCAGAAGGGAAGAGAGAGAAGGCAGAGTCACCCTCTGTGTCACTTTCTCCAGCAACTGCAAAAAGCTTCTGTATGGAAAGAGGAAGGGAATAGAGCAGAGTACTCCTTATATTAAACGAGAGCCCAAATAAATATACATCACTGTAAGCCAGCTTGCTTTTCATGTGTGTGTATCTGTGTGTTCATGGGTGTGAGTGTATGGGTGTGCATGCAGGTGAAGCATTGGGCAGCCTTGGTGCTGGTCCTTAGATCCTGCCACCTTTGTTTGTTTGTTTGTTTGTTTGTTTGAGACAGGGTCTTGTATTTACCTGAAGCTCATCTATTAGGTTAGGTAGGTTGGCTGATGAGCCCTGGAGATTCTCCTGTCTCCACCTCCCAAGCACTGGAATTACAGACTCATACCACGGTGTCCAGCATCTTTTTCATGGGTTCTCATGCTTGAGCAGCAATCTCTTTGCTGCCTGAACTAACTCCCTAGTCCCCAGCATATACTTCTTAAGAAATATCAAATGAAACATTACACTGAAGAAATAGGTTCATTTGAGAAAATGCAGCAATTTGTCCCTTTAAAACTAGTAACATTAAGTGTGATAGAAGTAAGATGGACATGTACACAACTGCTCCTAATTTGGTCAAAAATCATGCTGTTAAGTTGTGATGGTGTCTGCAGGCTTATGCTGGCTTTAATGTAGGAGCTTCAGGCTAGACCACTGGTCTTTGGGCTGCATTTTCATTTAGTACTCTCTGAGTAACTGTCCCAATAGTTACTGTAAGACCTGTTGTTATGGGATGTACTTCCCCAGCTGGGATGGGGCTTCTGTGTTGAGCTGTAAATAATTAGTTTCTCCATATTGCGTTATAATGGATATTATAACATTTTACCTATTTAAGATAAAAACATTTTCTCTTGGGTGGCCTTCAGGTATCCTTAGACACTTCCAGAAAGGGATCCTCTTGTGGGTAAGATGAAGGGAGAAGCATGTGTAATGTTCAGAGTGGAGGTGTTCAGGGATGAAAATAAATAGTTTGCTTTTATTACAACTATGTGGTACAAATCCAAGGCAGCCACTAAAGAATTTGCTGTTGCATTTGGACTAACTGGAACATTAACAGTAAAATACTCATTAGTCAAATAGCTTTGAATGTAAAATTTTGAGGGAGTTTTTATGAATGATAAAAGTTTGGACTTTAAATATGTGGCAATTTTCTTCTGAAGTCATTTAAAATTTGGTATGTGTGATTTATATATACCACATACATGCACACACACACACACACACACACACACACACTTTTCCATGCTCCTAGATTTTTATGCCATGGTGTACAAATACATGCATACTTTTTATGGAGCAGGCCAGGATCTCCTAGGAATTTATTGTTCTTTTTTTTTTCCTGGTATGCTGTCAAGCCGACTACAGGAAGAAGGTACAATTATGGGAGGAAAAAAAGCTTTTTTGAACTTATGTTATTTTGAATACATGTATGAATTTTATTTATTCAGTGTAAACAAGGGAATCAGCTTTTTCCAAGCCAGTTGGCTTGGGAGTGTGATGAATGCAGAAGAGCCCAAAGAGTGTCTGAGTAAGACAGATCCTTCATGTTCAACAAAAAGAAATGATTGGGGAGAAACAGAACATGGGGGATTATTAAGTTACTTAGCCATTTAACTTGATAATTGAAGCTACAGTGTATGTATTCACCTTGGCTTGCTTGTGTTGAATGCCCCTATGTTATTTTGATCTTAATGAAAGAGAAAGCTTTTTATGAATGACAAGTATAGTTCTTTGGGGATATCTTCAGTTTTGGTCATGATGACCAAATGTAGTTTTTGTTTGTCATTTTTGCCATCACAAAATTCACTGGACAGATGGCTCTATGCTTAAAGGCACTTGTTGCTCTTGTAGAGGACCTGAATGCCATTCTTAGTAGCCATATTGGGTGGCTCACACCTGACTGCCTGCAACTCCAGCTTCATCAGATATAACAGTCTTCTGGACTCTGTGGGTATCTGAACTCATGTGGCATGCACATGAATAATTATTTTAGAAAATGTGATCATAGTTTATCCTCAGATTTTGGGGTAAGGTTATTACCATTGTTCATATGTTTTATTAAAATTTTAACCTAAATGCTGGGATCCTGTTTTTGGTCTTTGAGTTCTGTTATTTCCTTGTCCTTCCTCTGCTCCACTCCGGGGACTGACAGAATATTTAAGCAGTTCTCTGTGATGAGAGAGAGGCACATGGGCTTCAATAGAGAGCACTTAGATTGCCCACTTTAGGGAACTTTAGTCACGGATCCTTTTTCTTTTCCTTTTTGACATGGGTGTTTCTCTTGCAGGTAGCTGGTTGAGGGCAGTTCTCCATGAATGTACGTCACCATGATGATGACCGACCAGATCCCCCTGGAACTGCCACCCCTGCTCAATGGGGAGGTGGCCATGATGCCACACTTGGTGAATGGAGAAGCGGCCCAGCAGGTTGGTGACCTCCTCCAAGGGGGCAACATTAGCTGAATATTTAATTTGTTTGGGGATTCAGAAGTCTTTGCTTTTGAACTTCCATGGTTCTAGAGATGTTTTGTTGTTGTTGTATAGGTGCTGTATTATTTTTAAAATACCTGGAAAAAAAATCGAGATCAGAAACTCTTACCTCATTCAGCTAGTGTTCCTAAAGAGTAAAACATAAGTTATTTTTAAAATGGCTCATTGTGAGACTGTCTATTCATTTGTCTGTTGTTCTTGACAAATCTGCACACATCCAGGTGAACCTACCCTGAATCCTGGGGTGACCCTTCCTTTATGGACCTGGGGTGACTCTTCCTCTATGGAACCTTGGGTGACCTTTCCACTGTGGAACCTGGGGTGACCCTTCCACTGTGGAATCTGGTGTGACCTTTCTACTGTAGAACATATTGTGACCCTTCCATTGTGGAACCTGGGGTGACCCTTTCTCTATGGAATCTGGGGTGACCCTTCCAATGTGGAATCGGGGTGGCCCATTCACTGTGGAACTCATAAGGGTTTCCTAAGAGGGCACTTACCAGATGTGTCACTCCTGTGTCATTCATGGCTTAACATTATGGCACACAACAGCTATTTAGGAAGTCAGCTGTGAGCACTTAGGGAACATATGTAAACTGTAAGGACAATTGGGCTTTTATCATTGAAACTGAATTGTCTTTAATAACTATTTTTTTAAAAAATATATAACCACAAAAATGTGTTGGTTCTATCCTGTAATTATATAAATATTTTTTTCTTTGTACATTTCTGTCTTAGCTTTTCTTACATTTTCTTACATTTCTGTCTTAGTTAGGGTTTCTGTTGCTGTGAAGAGACACCATGACCATTATCATCTTGGTGTGACATGGTGGAGTGCAGGTAGACATGGTGCTGGAGAAGGAGCTGAGAGTCCTACATGTTGACTCACAGGCAACAGGAAGTGGTCTAAGAGACTGGATGTGGCTTGAGCATATATGAGAACTCGAAGCCTGCCTCCACAGTGACACACTTCTTCCAACAAGATCACACCAAGCTGCACTTCCTAATAGTGCCACTCCCTTTGGGCATTATTTTCTTTCAAACCACCACATTTTCTTAAGTATAAACATAAGAAATGTGTTTTGAATGGTCGAGTTAGGAGTAAACCTGAAAAATAGTTATCCAAAATATATTAATAATTCAAGGAAGTTGAACACTTTTCTGTCTGAGTATATGTTCCCCACTGCCCCCAGCATGATCTGTCATTGACACGATTGGTCAGGTGCTATCAGAGGTACTCTGTATGCACTGCTAATGGGTCTGCTCAATCATTTCTTACTTTCTTCTGTATTGTGGTGTTCTTAAGAGCAAAATGTATCTAACAAGGGCTAGAGATGATGGCTCAGCCATGAAGAGCCTTTGCTATTCTTGCAGAGAACCCACTGTTTAACTTCTAACATCCATCTTGAGTGAGCCACTTGTAATTGTAGCTTTGGGAGCTCTGCCTCCTTTTTCTGGCCTTCATGGGTTCTGCACATGCGTGTACACACACACACACACACACACACACACACACACACACACACACACACTCTC